CCATCAATCACATTTCACAGTACATTTTAATAAAGCCTGGCCTCCTTTGAGCTGGACCACTGTGCTGTTGGCAATAATAAAGCCACGTGGTGACAGCTATTGTGGGCTAAAGAGCAGGGAGGAGTGATGAAAACAAGACTAGTAAGCAGCTGTCCACGTGATGTCATTTTTGTAGGTGCTGATGACTGAGGGAGAATAAAGTCAGCGTAGCTTATGATCAGTGTGTTTGAAAACTAGTTTGCATCCATAAAAGTGAATGATGCAAACTACATTGAGTTATGGCAGACAATGTTACTGTGTGAAGGTAATGAACATACTTAAATTTGCAATGCTTCTCATTTACAGATTATGTCAAAGGACTGAAAGTAAAAAAATATGTTGTGGTCACACAAAATACAAAAGTACATCCCATAATCATCACACAACTGTTGTCCTCCTGCAGGTGCTTCACTGCACAGGTCACGTGCGCGTTTATGACAGCCCGGACGAAGAGGGCACCAACGGGCAAAAGGAGCCACCTGTGCCCTACCTGGTTTTGATCTGCGATCCAATCCCGCACCCCTCCAACATTGAGGTCCCTCTGGACACCAAGACCTTCCTCAGCCGCCACACGATGGACATGAAGTTCACGTACTGTGATGAGAGGTTAGTTTGCCAGTGGGAGTAAGTCTTATATGCTTAAGATACAGGGATCAAATCTAAATCAGCTCCTTAAACCTATGTTCTCGCTATTGCCGCTCATCAGCATCGCTCTATCTATTGTAGTGTAGTGACACAGAGCCATCTAGTGCTCAGTGTAGGTACTACAGAATTCAATCTAAATAAATTGTTTGTTTCTCTAGGATCACTGATCTCATGGGTTATGATCCAGAGGACCTGTTGGATCGTTCTGTGTATGAGTACTACCATGCTCTGGATTCAGACCACCTTACCAAGACCCACCAAAACTGTAAGCATAAACAAAAATGTTAAACATAATTGGATTTAAAAGTTTAAAACAGATGTTAGCTGTTTAATTTTGCCTAACTAAATTTTTTTTCTCTCTTTTTTTTTTTTTCCCCCCTGATGTTTTTAGTGTTTGCAAAGGGCCAAGTCTGCACAGGCCAGTACCGAATGTTGGCTAAGAAAGGAGGCTTCGTGTGGGTGGAAACACAGGCCACTGTCATTTACAACAACAAGAACTCCCAGCCACAGTGTGTTGTCTGTGTCAACTTCGTGCTCAGGTACACTGAAGTCTCACTGAAGTCATTCTTTCAGAGGAAACACAATAATCCTAACCCTTACCCTTAAGTAAGGGTTAGGATTATCTTTTTACTTGAGATACACTGGTAGTAATTTTACAGCAGCATAATTTCATCGTGTCCTTCCTCTGTTGTAGTGGCATCCAGGAGGAGAAACTGATCTTGTCAGTGAAGCAGACCGCAGATGTGAAGCCGGTAAAGGAGGAACAGCAGGAGGAAGACCAGCTTGTAGTCGGGATCAGCCAGGTCGAGCTCTCTCCAGTCCAGCCAAAGAAGGCTGAACTGGAGAAGGAGGAGGAAGTGCAGAAGGAGGAGGAGGTGGTGAAAAGCCCAAAGATGAACATACTCAAAATCCTTACTGATTCGGCAGTCACCCAGCTGCCGATTAACCTGTATGACCACCTAAAGGGAGAGCCTGAAGCCCTCACCATGCTGGCACCAGCTGCCGGAGACACGATCGTCTCCCTGCACTTCAGCTGCCCCGGTTAGTACCCGACTAAACATACTTAAACTTCTTTAAACAGCATAACTTGGTTTATTTCTTGCTAAATGAAACGATTCTGACCTTTGTCTACCCTCAGGTACAGAATCAGATATCCATCTTCTGAAGGATGTCCCTCTCTACAACGATGTAATGCTTCCCTCCACAGATGACAAGCTGGTTCTGCCTCTTTCCCCTCTGCCACCCAGTGAGCCTCTGGATGTTTCCAGCACTAACTCTGAAGATTCAAAGTCTGAGAGCTATGCTCCAGCCCAGTCTACTACCACAACCAGCCACAGGCCCCCAGCGGTAAAACTGACTTACTATTTTGTCAACATAAGACATTGACAGTTAATATTTTTAACCACTCAGTAATATCTATTGGAAAAAAATGACCTTTGACTTCTCTTCTTTTTAGCCCGGCAGTCCACTGGACTTCTGCTTCCCCATGGATTCAGAGATGAACTCGGACTTCAAGCTAGACTTGGTTGAGAAGCTGTTTGCTATTGATACAGAGCCCAAAACGCCCTTCAACACACAGGTAGTAAATCTAGAAAAAGCATCACTTTTTACTTTTTTTTTTTTTTAATTAAGTTAGTCATGAATCACATAAACACCAGAGTTTTCTGTATTCTTATCCATTTGATTTTTTGTTTCCTCATAAGGAAACGGAGGACTTTGATCTGGAGATGTTAGCTCCATACATTCCCATGGATGATGATTTCCAGCTCAGCCTGCCCCCAGGAGAGCCTTTGTCTTGTGGATCAGTCAAGTCCCTTGAGAGTACTCCAATCCACAGCTATCCCAGCTCCCCCTTCAGTGCGCCAGGCAGTCGCACAGCTTCCCCAGCACCACCTGTGGAGCCTGTAGATGCTCCTCATCCTCCCACCATCTTGGCAAATGGGTAACATCTCTTAAACGTTTTAATTTTTTTGGCCAAATTACATTTTTATGGCCTTTTTTAGAGGATAGCTAAGGCCTACTTTTTGTGTGCTGCAGAGCCCCACATTTGGAGAAAGAGATGCCGCTGAGGACCCTCGCAGTTCAGAATGCACAGCGCAAAAGAAAAATTGTGACCTAAAAGAGATTATAGAACAGGTTAGTCCTCAGCATATACGCATAGTCGGTATAATCTGACTTCTGGAAGTGGGACCGTCTTTATTTATTTATTTATTTATTTTTCAGGGAACTTCGCTCCAGCAGCAGGTTGAAAAGGGCAAAAAGCTGAAGCCTTCAGGGTCTGGTACAACCAGGACCATCGTTCTGCTGTCTTCAGGTGAATAAACTAGTTCTTTTTTGTAAGTAGTGTTACTGTGTTACTTGAAATTGAACATCAGAGATTCAACTGGATCTTTTCCGATCTTAGATTTGGCGAGTCGCCTGCTTGGCAGCACTTCAGAGGCCACCAGTTCCTCCTTCGGCCTGCCGCTCCTCACCCGCGACGACTGCGAGGTGAACGCACCCTTACAGGGTCAGTACTTACTGCAGGGAGAGGAGCTGCTCCGTGCTTTGGACCACATCAACTGAGTCAATATTTAGCCTGCTCACTGCTGGACTAGACTGGACACTACAATTTGTTCCTCACATTGTCAACCAAACCCCCAACGCCCCTCCAAAACACAAACACACGTTTCCAAGACCTCCCACCCCCACTTATTTATGTATCTGTATGAGTTTATTATAGTTTGGCTGCTGTTTGTGCACATCTTGTGATATTTGCAGCATTCCACCGTGACAAACACCATAGCAGCAATTGGGTTTAAGTGCGAGCGATTCAGGCATCGCGTGATGTCCAGCTGTCCTTTCTTGGTTAGTTTTTTCTTCTTTCCTCTCTTCCTGGGAGTTTCTCAGCACACGGCGCCTTGACGGATGACCCATTCCCAGCTGGTCACCACAGAATCTGGCGCCACTGCCAGCAGTGTATTGTAAGCTTCAGTCGCACAATTTATATTTTCTTAAAAAGAAAAAATATTACCAGCAATATATATTAAGCCTTTTTAAAGTAGTTTTAATGGGGTTTGAACAATTGTATTTTTCCTCCCATACTTGTATGTTGTAGTACTCGTACCTAATAAGATGTCTTTAGTCCAGAAGTATGAATATATTGTTTAAAATATTGTTTAATAAATGTTATCTCAATTTATTAGCTATCAGTCTTTGAGGTTAATACATGAAATTGTGTAGCAGTCCAGTACATGTCACTTTATTACTTTACTGTAAGTGTGCGTTACTGTACATATACCAGGGAAATTTTATTTTGCTCATTATGGCTTCAGAGTGCTCAATGAAATCTGAATAACCTCACGTTTACTTCTCATGCAGAATTGGCATTTTAAACATTCATGAATTGAATTCATTTCATTTTTTTCCTTTTTGGTCTTTACTGTGTGTGACATACTCAAAGCAGTTTAAATCAGTGCGACTTCATATGTTACTCTCATCATCATCATCATCATCATAGCGGCAACATTTGTGACTTCTGTGCTCATGTAATGGTAGTCAGTTTAATACCATTCATCCTTGCCATAGTGTTGGGTCTCTCTTGCTTCCTTTTGCTGTCCTAACAACATTAAATGGCTTTAATAAAGTGCACCCTCTCAGGCTCCGTGAGCTTTTATTTTACAAATAATGCATTTTGGACACAAATCATTACAAGAGACACAAGTTTGGCTACTCTGAGCAATAAGTAAGAAAGAAGAGGTAGAATTCACTAAGAACCCCTCCGTGAATAAACAGTGAGCATGGCTTTTAGCATTTAATGAAAAATGGCACCATGAAGACTGCACCAGTGTAGTTTTAAACAGGTAACATTTACTATGGCTAAAATGCCTACACATTCACTGTAAGCTGACACCTCTCCAAATGTTAGTGAAATACTGGAGAATATAAGAAAACTTTTACATAAAATCTAATTTATTAAACAGCAAACATTTTCTTTTGAACACAGTCACTGTAAGGTTTCACAGTTTTCTGGTGTACACAAGCTAACAACTCATTCTGTCCAGCGGCTGACATGAAATAATGCAGTTTGCATTAATCTATATAATCGGGAGTTATGTGAAGGCGGAGTATCTCTTGTCCTCGCTGCACCTGCATAGTGATTTTGTCGCTGCTGCGGACGGCCTCATAGATCTCCTCTGAGGTGTTCACCTTGGCCCCGTTTATCTCCAGCACAATGTCTCCGGCTTGCATGCCAGCTCTGAAACAAGACATACGACAATTATACCAACAAAAACAA